GGCAATACCCATGTCTAAATGAAAGAGCTTTGCCAGAGCATCCTAAGGAAACTATATTCTCATTTTTGATGTAAGCAAAAATGCAATTCAAGTCATTCTTTTCCAAAGGGAAGAAATGCCAGTATTTGGCATATATTAGAAAACAGCTTCCAATCCCTCTGGACCTCTTATTTATAAGGACATTTTCTTCTCGAGTGATTCACTTGTTCTACAAAGGTGTGCCCTGGATAACAGGTAAACATTTTACTTGTCTTAAAAAAGCAAGACAAAGGGAGTGAGATTTCCATTAATGTACTGCCAATATCAAAATGTTTTGCTCTAAAAATTCCTTCAGCCATTGTTTTCTGCCCTCAGATGATTTCCTCAAATTTTTTCCAAATTAAGGAATTGCTGACATTATATTTTAAGAATAAATATTTATGCAAACCAGATTTTCCCTTAACTTCACCCAAGACTAGTGTGGACATGCTGTAAACCAAAGCAAAAACTACTGGGAGACAACCATTCATTGCAGTAGTGGCAACTACATTTGTGCTCAGTGGTTGCATATGTGGTCTCTTTGTTACTTCTCTTGATTTAGCCCCATTACATCTTCCTCTTATTCTCTTGTTCGTTCTTTTTTCTAAACATTTACCTCCTAACTTACCGTGGTCTTTCTGACATGTTCTTTCTTGCAAGTATCAGTACAAATCTATTAAAAGACAGAACAATATTCAGACACCACAAATGTTTATAGGATAGAAACAAATTATCTAGAGAAAGAGTAAATATTTCACTTTTATTCTCTACGTATTGATGTCATATAGACATAGCTTGACTCTGTGTATTTTGAGTTAGATAGAAAACATTTTATTATTTAAAACATAGGCTCCCGGTGAGTAGAGTTGATCTCTTTTAACCTAATCATGAAGAAAACAACTACACCTTTTAAAAAATATCCTGTTCAAGGCACAGTGGCTCACTCCTGTAATCCCAGCACTCTAGGAGGCTGAGATGGTTGGATCACGAGGTCAGGAGTTCAAGACCAGCCTGGCCAAGATGCTAAAACCCTGTCTCTACTAAAAACTCAAAAATTAACCATGCATAGTGGCACATGCCTGAAATCACAGCTAATCAGGAGGCTGAGGCAGGAGAGTTGCTTAAACTCTGGAGGCAGAGGTTGCAGTGAGCCAAGATCACACCACTGTACTCCAGCCTGGGTAACGAGCAAGACTCCATTTCAAAAAAAAAAAGAAAGAAAGAAAGAAAGAAAGAAAAAGAAAAAAAATCCTGATTCTGAGACCTAGACACAAATGCTCTCGGATGAAACCTAGCCATTGGGCGCAAAACCCTGAGGCTCTCACTCACTCTTATCAGTGAGATTTGCCGGTATTTCCTTCTATTACTAATGTTAGCCTAAGCTCATATCTTTAAGACAGCTTTTAAAAAATTAAGCAAAAAGCTACCCTCAAGAACACATGCAAACAGAGGTCAGACTTATCCTTTTGGTAGGCTGAGAAATCTCCATTTGGTTGTGGCAGCAGGCTTAATGAAAAGAAAGCCATTAATTAAATACACCGAACATTGTAGTTTGGCCAGAGGAGGCAATATAGGCACCAGCACATTAGCCAACTTTTAGGCCTTACTAGGACAGAATACACATGTTCTAATGACTTGGTTTGGTTCAACCTATGATAGGCACTTCCTGAGAAAGAACTTCAGAGTCTGTGCCCTTGAAGCGTCAATCACATCCTGCCATTTGGCTTTATCTGAGAGCCTGAAGTTTACCGTAACATCTTGGTCACATCCTATTCTTCCACAGTAACAGGAAGAAGAAAGACAGAACTATCCCAATCTCTAGGTTTTAAGAGATAAATAACAACAACAGTTCTCTTGGCTCTTTTCTTAAATGACTTTTCTTGCTGGCTCTAACTCCAATCCTACCCCCAGTACCTCAATGCCAGCCCAGGGAAGTCAGAACCACCTCACTCGGAGTCCTGTCTTCTGTCCACTACACTCTTCATGGTATACATGGGTAAGATGAAAAGCCTTGAATGCTGTTCTTTTTCTATTATCTGGTCCCAAGCACAGCTGTGGTACCTCACTGGACTCTGGCCTAATGGTTTTTATGGAGTCAGATAATTATTCACAAGAGTTATCTTCGTTGAACACATGCTGGGGAGAAAAATAATAACAGGATACAGGAAACATTATCTGCTTCAGATTCAAAATTGGCTTCCAACTATTTGATTCTGGTTCATATTATGAAAGGGAAATAAACAGTCTGCTTTCTGTCGCTACTAATGCCTTTGCTGAACCCCATCCCATAACTTCAAAATCATACATCAGAAAAACCAGGCATTTCATAGTGCTTTTGGATGATGGCAATGGAAATACAACCATCTATTAATATATTGCATCTGTTGGTCCTTATTGAGACCAATGGCATCTATTTGTGCCATGATATTGAGGGAGGGAAGTACAGTCTATATTTGAGCTTAAGTGCTCTGGTTCCAGGTGACCTCCACGAAAACATAAGAAAGTTATTTGGACAGGGGACACACACACCAACCTATTGATGCTCCGAAAGAGGACTTCAACAGGTTTGGTTAATATTGGGTAGCCTGAATCCAAAGCCATAAAGAGAAGCAAGATTGTCTGACAGAGGAGGAAACGAGGAAAGATTTCTAAGCAGGTCAGATCTTGTACGTTGTAAAAATAAGGGCACTATACACTCAGTGGCTGTCACACATGCTCTGAGTACCTAGGCAATGTCTATAGAGAGAAACAACTAAGAAGTCTAGGAAGAGGGGAACTGCAGGCAAAGTTGAGAGTGACAGTGGTGACAAGAGGTAAGGTAAGATGGAACCAAAAGCAAATCTTGGCTGAAGCTTACCCTGCTTGACCTTGAATTTTGAGGAAATTAGATGACCTTAGGAAGGAGTAGACATTGTTCAAATAAATTACTTGAAATTTGTATTTACAGTTCTTTTAAAAAGTCAAATAATCTTAAAAACAGCAAACGTCTTTTACCCAATCTACCTTAAGTTTTGACTACCTTAAGTTTGGAACAGTGAACTATCAGCCTATAAATTACCTGCATGTGGTCACTTCTTCTATTGGTCACTGCAAAAGCTGTCAGTACTTCCCACGGTAGATGTTGGGGAACCAATTCCATGAGAGCCATGGCTTATTTTCCAGTTTGGTCACTTTATACCCTTGTTAATGACATCATGCTTCAGTTCAATCCCAAGTACAAAAACAAAGACAAAAAATTACTGAGTCAAATATTTATATTACAATCACTTTCTTCCTTTGTAGCCAAGAAAAGATGAAAACACTTTAATCGAAATTAAAAAATGAAACTAGTTATTTTACCACCTGATCTATGAATAAAGAATCAAGTACGTTGAAAATCCCTCTGTTTGAAGGAACACTTTTCAGATAGCAGGTAAAACTAATTTGTTTTGCAGCCTTCACCTTGTATTGGACGTTCAAACATGTTACCTAGTTAATTAAATCTTTTCATAGTATCATAATGCTTGTTTGCACAATGACTCCAAACAGCAGTCACGTATGAAGTTTGTCATAACCAAAAGGATGACAGTACACAGAAAAGCAAATTTTCTAATCATCTTAATTTTTCTAAATCAAAGAATGCCTTTCCATGTTTTCAAAGAATGAAAACAAAAGAAAGGGATGAATTTCACTTCAAAGGTAGGAAATCAGTTATACAAACCGTATCCATATAGATGTATACAGTGTTAAAAATGAGAATTTTAAGTAAATTAATAAATCTTTTGAATTACCCAGAAGACACACACTTTCTGCTCACTATGCACACCTACAGGACCTCAAAGAGTTAGAAGCAGTGAAATAACAAGACCTTTCTGTGGAGGCAGGAAGTAGGAAGCAGCATGTGCCGTGAAAAGGCACAGTGGTTTCACATGTTACATTCCTGCTTGATCCTCACACCACATTGCAAATCTGAGCTCTTCTTGCTCCATTTTAAATTACTTCAAGCAGTGTCTACCATCTTGGAGTGTGACTGCAGTCTTTACAAATTGTTTGCTATAATTTCATTCCTTTTTATTTTATCTTTTTTTTTTCCCTCTCCTCCCTGCCCACCTTAGTTCTCAATTCCAGTTTTGTAGAACATTCTTTAGGAAGAGTCGATTTTGAGAGTAAAGACGAAAGGAAAGAAGGAAGGAAAGAAGGCAAACAGGCAGAGAAAGAAAGAAAAGAAAAACGAATTTTCTTGCTTGCTTATATATGTAAAGGGATTTTTCTTTGCCAGCAGTTTAGCCTCCAAGGAATATGTCTTGCTTATTATATAATTCAGTACATTTCATTCAATAGAATGTTTTTTATTCATTTTTCTGTGTAATCTAAAAGCCTGTCAGAAACATAGAATTTGAAAGTATTTTGAGCGCAGAAAAAATTACCACTTCTGATGCAGTGACATTGCTATTTCAAAAAGAAAATCAATCTCATTAAAGTGAAAGATAATAATAACAATTTTGGACTGAAGTGACAATTAAACAATTTTTAAACTACTGTTTTTACCGTTAGAAAATTTCAATTAAAAATTTATTTTAAATATTTGAGATGCAACTCTAATCTTTCTGAATTTATGATTTTTAAAAATTGAAATAGAAAGTTTTTACAATGTTTAATTTGTGTAAAAAAAAGCACTAAAAGATAAAAATAAGCAGAAGATGGGGGTGGAAAGATAAAACAGAACAACACAGTTGTGTCTTGATTTGCATTGAGTCTCTATTGCAATTTCTTTTAAAAAGGAAACTAAAATGTAGAAAGTTTCAATCCTTTTTAGCATACATAGGCATTTCTCCCTAAAATATACTTATCTCTCTTAATTTTATATGTCTTCAACTTAACATTCATTAAATTTTATTCTGAAACTGAGTCTTAATAACTGAAATACTTTTAAAGAGAAATGTTTCTAGCTTAAATATTTCAGCATATCATAAGATTCCTGCTGAGAGTTCATAATAAGAAATATGAAACTAGTTACTCCGGACTTGGATTTTGATGTGCTGAAGTATCTACTGGTATTCTTTCAAGGCATAGATGCATGGTAAGTTTTCTACTTTTTTCTTCTTTTTTTTAATTGGTAGGCAAGCGTATGAGGTTGGTATTTCTTGAAATGGCTAGTTAAAAGATTTCCAGATGAAAGTTTATAAAGGCAGTAGTTCAGTTTTACAGAATTTGGTTTTTGGTACATTTGTAATGGTGCGTTTTATAATGTGTAATTGTTGTGTGACAAAGTCTGTGTGAAGTCAATGGAGATTTCACATTTGGAAAACCATTGTGTAGTATCTTTTCATTACTAATTGGTGTAATTTTGTCAAATCTAACTTATTCATGTTTTAATTTTAATTTATTCTGTTTATCCTTATTCACAATATCCATGTATAGGACTAGTGCGTTTAAGACTTGAGAAATTACAGCATTTTTATTTGTTTGTTTGTTTTTAGGGGGGTGGGTTATTTGTTTTTACTGAACAATTCTGGGTTTACTGAAGAGAAGGGATCTTAAAGCACTAATTATGAGTTTTGATATTATGTGTTTGAAACTCTATGCCTCCAATATTTGCAGTATGTCCTTTTCCTGAAGAAAGTTATGTAACTGAGTCACAAAGGTGGGGGGTGTGTGTGTATGTGTGTGTGAGTGTGTGTTATGTGTTTAAGTTACTACTTTATTTGTCTAGGAAAATGAAAATTTAAAAAACGGTCAACTTGTGTTTTATACCTTATAATAAGCTTGTAGTGGATGAAAAGCAAAATATTCTTCTGGATTACTTTTGAGAAAAAAAAATTAAACTATAGGAAACTGTGGCTGCAACCCATGAATAACCTAGAAATCATTATCCATAACTAGATAATAAGCAGATATATTGCATAAAGTAGTTCTTTCTCCTAAGAGGTGTTTAGATTTCCAGCTGGGATTGGTTTATTCTCTAGAGGACATTTGGAAATGTGTGGAGGAGGTTTTTAATTGTCAGTGACTGGGGACAGCCCCAGGCTTTTAGTGGGTTCAGGCCAGACATGCCAAATAATCCTCAATTTCTATGAGACATTCTGGCTTAAGCAAGAACTGACACAGCATAATGCCAATGGCACCCATATTAAGAGCTGATGGTGTCCCCATTCTTAATAGGTATGATATACGGGAGATATTAGGAAAACATAATGGATAATTTTCTTTTTTTTTTTTATGTGTAGCCTCAGGCCAATAAAATTAACTAATTAGGAAAGAGAAACCACCTCTTCCTAAAACTATAGTAAATGCCCACTTGTTAGCAATTGATAATTTAAAGTCTCAATATTTGTGCCAAGGGGTTTATTGGTTTTATGTAAGGTGGTAATGTGCTAAAAACAGTTTAAATCTTATTGTAGGAAAACAGTACTACTATCTCAGAAAACAAGAGTTTTTTGTTTTGTTTCGTTTTTTTTTTTTTTTTTTTTTTTGGTAATTTCAAGGGCTCAAACTTGGTACCACTATGCAGTTTTTATGGCATTGGACCTGACCTGAAAAAATAGAATTTTAAATTAAAATAAACATTGTCAAGAGCCTGGACATCATTGCTTATACTAACAATGGAATAAAATACAAGAGACTCTAGAAACCCATATACATACAGCAAGGAATGCAAGGTAAAATAAGCCATGTATTTAGTTCACACTTTGCCAGTTATCTTCACTCTTTGCTTCTCCATTAAGAACTAAGGTTAGAGTTCTATCTTTTTTAAAATTTCATCAAATGTTTGACTTAATCATTTTAAATTTGAATAAGTCAATGTTTTCAAGTACACTACAGCAAGATCCCCTTAAGGCAACACCAATTTATTACACTCTTTTTTAAAGCTTTAAAATGCAACTTCCCATTTGTGATAGTGACTCAGAGTCCAGTTCATTATTAGTGAACTTAAAATCTATAAACATGCTAGTTGATCTCACCGTATAGGTGATATGGTTTGGCTCTGTATCTCCACCCAAATCTCACCTTGAATTGTAATCCCCATAATCCCCACAGGACAAGGGTTGGACCAGGTGAAAGTAATTGGATCATGGGGTGGTTCCCCCATGCTGTTCTCATGATAAGTGAATCTCATGAGATTTGATGCTTTTTAAGTGTCTGGCATTTCCCCTACGTGCACACATTCTCTCTCCTGACACTCTGTGAAGAGGTGCTGCCGTGATTGTAAGTTTCCTAAGTCTTCCCCAGCTATACAATACTGTGATTCAATTAAACCTTTTTTTTTTTTTTTTTTTTTTTTTTTTTTTTATAAATTACCCAGTCCCGGGTATTTCTTCATAGTAACATTTGAATGAACTAATACAATTTGTATAGATATAGTTACTTTCATTCAACAGGTCTTTCCCTCTAAGGCCTATTCAATATAATTATTTGAGAGCTTTCAAAAAATAATTTTGGTACTCAAACAGCATCAAAACATTTAAATGACTGGGTTTCAAGATCTGACATTTAGAAAAGGGAAGGTCTGCCTTCCAATTTGAAGCTTTTTTCGTTAACATATAACCTTCCTATTTTCATTTAAATGTAGTTGTCTCATATTTCAGCTAATTAAATCATTAAATAAAATTATGAAATTACTACAGTGTAAAGACTTCAGCCAAAAAATAAAACTGAGTGTCAGAATCCTTCTTCACTTCATATGGAATAAAGAAGTTTATAAAATTTGACTTCACAAGTCTCTTTTGGATCTTTAGAACTGTATAGAAATTGGCCGGGCGCGGTGGCTCAAGCCTGTAATCCCAGCACTTTGGGAGGCCGAGGAGGGTGGATCACAAGGTCAAGAGATCGAGACCATCTTGGTCAACATGGTGAAACCCCGTCTCTACTAAAAATACAAAAAAAAATAGCTGGGCGTGGTGGCACGTGCCTGTAATCCCAGCTACTCAGGAGGCTGAGGCAGGAGAATTGCCTGAACCCAGGAGGCGGAGATTGCGGTGAGCCGAGATCGCGCCATTGCACTCCAGCCTGGGTAACAAGAGCGAAACTCCGTCTCAAAAAAAAAAAAAAAAAAAGAAAGAAAGAAATGGAATGATCGCCCTAGCTGTGGCGGCGGCTGCAGAAGCCCAAGCAGCCGCGGGCCGCAGTGGAGGCTAGAGCAGGAGCGGTGGCGGCGGCGGCACCCCAGGGAGTTTAAGATGACGGCGGGCGGGGCGGGGGGGTAGGTGGTGGGCAGGGGGCCTGCGGGAGGAGCAGCGCTATGGGTTGTGCGGATGGCTGGGGCAGGACAACATCACCGTAACTGCATGTGAAGCTCACCGAGACGGCGATCCGGGCGCTCGAGACTTACCAGAGCCACAAGAACTTAATTCCTTTTCGACCTTCAATTCAGTTCCAAGGACTCCACGGGCTTGTCAAAATTCCCAAAAATGACCCCCTCAATGAAGTTCATAACTTTAACTTTTATTTGTCAAATGTGGGCAAAGACAACCCTCAGGGCAGCTTTGACTGCATCCAGCAAACATTCTCCAGCTCTGGAGCCTCCCAGCTCAATTGCCTGGGATGTATACAAGATAAAATTACGGTGTGTGCAACAAACGACTCCTATCAGATGACACGAGAAAGAATGACCCAGGCGGAGGAGGAATCCCACAACCGAAGCACAGAAGTTATCAAACCCGGTGGACCATATGTAGGGAAAAGAGTGCAAATTTGGAAAGCACCTCAAGCTGTTTCAGATACAGTTCCTGAGAGGAAAAGGTCAACCCCCATGAACCCTGCAAATACAATTCGAAAGACACACAGCAGCAGCAGTGTCTCTCAGAGGCCGTATAGGGACAGGGTGATTCACTTACTGGCCCTGAAGGCCTACAAGAAACCGGAGCTACTTGCTAGACTCTAGAAAGATGGTGTCAATCAAAAAGACAAGAACTCCCTGGGAGCAATTCTGCAACAGGTAGCCAATCTGAATCCCAAGGACCTCTCATATACCTTAAAGGATTATGTTTTTAAAGAGCTTCAAAGAGACTGACCTGGATACAGTGAAATAGACAGACGGTCATTGGAGTCAGTGCTGTCTAGAAAACTAAATCCATCTCAGAATGCTGCAGGCACCAGCCATTCAGAATCTCCTGTATGTTCTAGTCGAGATGCTGTATCTTCTCCTCAGAAACGGCTTTTGGATTCAGAGTTTATTGATCCTTTAATGAATAAAAAAGCCCGAATATCTCACTTGACGAACAGAGTACCACCAACACTAAATGGTCATTTGAATCCCACCGGTGAAAAATCTGCTGCAGGCCTCCCGCTGCCCCCTGCAGCTGCTGCCATCCCCACCCCTCCACCACTGCCTTCAACCCATCTGCCGGTCTCACATCCTCCTCAGATTGTAAATTCTAACTCCAATTCCCCTAGCACTTCAGAAGGCCGGGGGACTCAAGACCTACCTGTTGACAGTTTTAGTCAAAACGATAGTATCTATGAGGACCAGCAAGACAAATATACCTCTAGGACTTCTCTGGAAACCTTACCCCCTGGTTCAGTTCTACTAAAGTGTCCAAAGCCTATGGAAGAAAACCATTCAATGTCTCACAAAAAATCCAAAAAGAAGTCTAAAAAACATAAGGAAAACGACCAAATAAAAAAGCAGGACATTGAGACTATTGAGGAAAAGGAGGAAGATCTTAAGAGAGAAGAGGAAATTGACAAGCTAGATAACTCCAGTCCAAATTCCAGTGGAGGAGTTAAAGAGGATTGCACTGCCTCCATGGAATCTTCAGCAATTGAACTCCCAGATTATTTGATAAAATATATCGCTATCGTCTCCTATGAGCAACGCCAGAATTATAAAGATGACTTCAATGCAGAGTATGATGAGTACAGAGATTTGCATGCCAGAATGGAGACTGTAGCTAGAAGATTTATCAAACTGGATGCACAACGAAAGCGCCTTTCTCCAGGCTCAAAAGAGTATCAGAATGTTCATGAAGAAGTCTTACAAGAATATCAGAAGATAAAGCAGTCTAGTCCCAATTACCATGAAGAAAAATACAGGTGTGAATATCTTCATAACAAGCTGGCTCACATCAAAAGGCTAATAGGTGAATTTGACCAACAGCAAGCAGAGTCATGGCACTAGAACTCTGCTTGGACCAGAAGATGTGAATAAACTTAAGCTTATTTATTTAAAATTCCAAATGAGTTGCTCTAGATTCTAAAAAGGTGAAACTTTGGCTGTTGAAAGTTTCAGCATTAGTAAACTTGAGTTACTTTTTCTTTTCCATTTTACTTTGTTTCCCTGCATTTCGAAGCTGCTCTTTCTGGTCCTCCCCCATCTTGCCCCCAAGACTTGTGTTTGTTAATAGAAATAATTTTTTAGGTATGTGGATCCCTTGTCTATATTTCAAATCAGTTTTTTTCTCCTCAAAAACTTGTGTTTGTTATTAGAAATGATTTTTTAGATATTGGGGATCCAGTGTCCACCCTTAAAAGTTGTATGTGTTTAAAAAAAAAAAACAACAACAACAGTAATGTGCAAGGTGAAATGCTTTTGGACAAACATAAGCCTATTTTTGACCTTTCTTAATGCAAACTCTTTGCCTTAAATGGTAGAATATTTAGAAATTTGCACAAAATTTTAAAAATAAACATTGTCTTGGAGGGTTAAAAAATAGAAAGGTGTATGTGTTGATTCACATACACATATGTATATACAGGCTGACTTGATCTAGAACATTAAATCTGCCCTGCAAGTTAACCCCCCATTGCAATGGTTGCCTTAAGGTGTTTGCTAGTTGTGTACATAGTGTGGTTAATCATTAGCTACACAGCTTCCCACTTGATTAGAGCAATGGGAAGCATATTGTGGCCTACCAGCATCTGGAAATGTGTGCTAGATCTGTATGTGTGCAGACGTGATGTGGATGTGAGCGTGCATGAAGGAAAAAAAGCTGCTACTCTAAGTAGGCCAAACGCTCAGGTTAAACAACTGACGAGTGTTACTGTAGGGTTTTTTTGTTTTTGTTTTTGTTTTTCCTATCAAATTGCTACTTCTTTTGTGGAAGACAAAAGCATTTCCATTTCAACGAGTTTGTCAGCTTTAATATTGTTGGGCAAAAATTGGTATGTCATGAAAATGAAACAGATCTATAGTTTTGGGGCAAATTATAAAATTAAATGTGCAGGTAACCTATTTATATACTGCTATACAGTATTTTGTGAAGAGAGATATGTAAAGAAGCTATTACCTACATAAGATGTATATTTAAAGATTTTTTTTTCATCCTGGTGCCAGGAATATAAAAAAAGAGTGGATATATTTAACCATAACATACTGTGATTCATCAAACAGCACAAACTTTCATTTCATGGAGTTTATCTGTTGATGTTGATTTAAACTGTCACTTGTTTTATCATGTGGGAACATAAGGTATGTGGTCAAAAATATAAGGATTTTGAACTAATGTTGATTCAAGTTGTATTGTCTTATTGTATTGTCTTTTCAAAGTGCTGCCAGTTGAAAAGGGAAGCATTATGTTTACAAATCTGTTTTGAAATGTTTGCCAAAATTTTGGTAGCATCTTTAATAAAGATGTTTGTCTCCAGCATCCAGAAAAAAAAAAAAAGAAAGAAAGAAATGCAATAATCATCATGACTTTCAAATATGTCTTATTTTTCCCCACAACACATTAATAAGAACTTTAAACCAAGATTCAGATAATACAAAGACTACATTATTAGAGAATAATGAGAGAAATTAAAGCTATTTAATTTTTACTTGCGAGGACTGTGCCTGGTGGGTTTTTTTCTTTGTTTTTAAGTCATAAAAAGTAAAATTTTATGATTTGGTAGAAAAAAGGAAGTTAATTATGTAAAAAGATTTTTCCTATGTGAATTTTTAAATTTGATGAAAAATTTTTATGCCGATGGTTGTTAAGCTTCTTTCTTTCTTTTAAGTAAATCACATTAAATATATACATGTAGATGGGAACAATCCAGAAAAGCAAGAAAATTTGATAATTAGCCAAAAAATAAAAAGGGAGCTATGTTAGAGGAATCTTCCTAATTCAGCATGAGCAGGCTCGGAGGTAGTACATATGTCAGCCTCAGATAGGAGAATAGACTGTTAACAACAGGGAGGGTAAAGTGTGTGCCCACAAAAGCAGGTAGGTGAGTAGATGTGGTATAGTTGTTTGTGGCCATTCTATTTTGATAGCTTCTATTTTCATAATGGTAACCCTTTCTTAAGGGTTGTGCTGAGGAGGTAACCCAGAAGCTTCCTTTTCTAGAGGAAGCAGTGTGGATTCTTTAGTGTGTTCTGATGGTCATGTGTCACGACACACTTTTCTGTCTTTACATCTCCTCCTGTTGCATTTTAAAGCATTTTTATAGTATGTGGTTTTCCTTAATAAAGCATTTTCATAGCAAAAATTTTTAAAAAGAAGCCTGAAACCTACTCCCAAACACTTTATTCATATGGAAGTGCAATAACCATTCAACCCAGCAGTCCTATTGCTGGGTATGTACCCAAAAGAATATAAATCATTCTACCAGAAAGATACAGTACTCACATGTTCATCATAGCACTATTCACAATAGCAAGACATGGAGTCAACCTAGATGCCCATTAATGGTGAATTGGATAAAGAAAATGTGATATATATATATATATATATATATATATATATATATACACACACACACACACACACACCCCATGGAAACCTATGCAGACATAAAAAAAAGAAATAATGTCTTTGGCAGCAGCATGAATGCAGCTAGAGGTCATTATCCTAAGTGAATTAATGCTGGAACACAAAACCAAATACTGCATGCTTTCATTTATAAGTGGAAGCTAAACATTGGTTACACGTGGGCACAAAGAAGAGAACGATACATACCAGAGCCTACTTGAGCAAGGAGGGTGGGAGGAGTGTAAAGGTCAAAAAACTACCTACTGGGGAGTATGCTTACTACCTGGATGACAAAATCATCTGTATACCAAATCCCAGTGAAATGCAATTTACTGATGTAACAAACCTGAACATGTACTCCCTGAACCTAAAGTAAAGTTGAAAAACAATAAATAAATAAATAAGAGTTGGAAGTACTCTCTGTGGTATTTTTAGTGTACTCGCATGTTCATCATAGCGCTATTCACAATAGCAAGACATGGAGTCAACCTAGATGCCCATTAATGGTGAATTGGATAAAGAAAATGTGATACACGCACACACACACACACACACACACACACACACATATACCATGGAAACCTATGCAGACATAAAAAAATGAAATAATGTCTTTGGCAGCAACATGAATGCAGCTAGAGGTCATTATCCTAAGTGAATTAATGCAGGAACACAAAACCAAATACTGCATGCTTTCATTTATAAGTGGAAGCTAAACATTGGTTACACGTGGGCACAAAGATGGGAACAATAGATACCAGAGAAGATGAAAGTCTCATCCAAATTGCAGAAAGTCTACCTCATTCAGACAACAAAACACACCCCATCGGACTTGGGGATGGAAGTGGGTGTGGGAACCTCTCACCGATATTGCACGACGAGGCAACTGTTCCTTTACCCATTTGTAAAATGTGCTCCCTTTTATCAAGGAACTGGCTGGCCTTAAACCTCTCTAATAACAGACTCAAATTGCTTGAAAGATACATGTGTTCAAAAAAAAGAAGGTTGGTTTGGAATATGGCGCAGTTGGTGACATTACTGAGGTCATTAAAGGCAGGATATCATAATACAGAACCAGGCAAGCTTTATGCCATAGAACTTAAATCCAACATTGAGAAACCCCTCTGTGATATAAACATTAGCTGCCATGAAACCACAGAATTCCCTCAGCAGTTGGGGGGCCCTCTGATTTCAGTCACTGAAAAGGTAACGTTAAGGGAAGCTTAGCAGTTTGGTGGTACAATCCAGCCTGAGGCCTGTAGAATCTAAGACTCTTATCCCCAAATTACATCTAACAGGACATTTGCTCTCACTGCAGAGCAACCTCATGATACAACTTTTCAAAAGTTGGGAATGCAACCCCCTTCTTCCTTTCTGTTAGCACATCTCCATTCATAGATGCTTAGACATCTTTTCACAATGATTTTACCTTACGTGGGAACTGCTCCCTCTGTAGAGGCTAACACCTATAAAGATAGGCTCTTTACAGTAATATAATTTCCTCATTGGACCACAGGTCAACTCCTGACCAAGCTGGCCACTCATATTCCCTTCTCTGGGAATTAAGAACTGGAACTGCCAAATTAAGTTGTGAAACATTGTCTTCTCTTCATAGACTACACACAGCAAAAGCCAATCAGTGCACATACAAGAATGCATATGGCAGGCAAATAGAAATGGAGATGTACTCAGGCTTCACAGTTACCTATTTCCTGATTAGAGTCCCCTCCCAAGGCTTGGCTTCATTACTGCCGTGGTTTCCATCAGACACACTTATACTGCTATATACATTTCCTGTAAGTAAGCCCTTGCCTCCATTACTTGCAGCCCAAAAAGTCCAATTTCCCTTCTACCAAGAATAAGAGAGAATGAAAGTGGATCCTGTGGAACCATGTTAAAACTCTTATCAAAAACAAAAAAAAAAAAGTCTCACTCTGTCTCCCAGGCTGGAGTACAGTGGCATGATTACAGCTCACTGTAACCTCCACCTCTCGAGTTCAAGCAATTCTCATGCCTCAGCCTTCCGAGTAGCTGGGATTACAGGCACCCACCACCATGTCTGGCTAATTTTTTAATCTTTTTGTAGAGACAGTGCTTCACCATGTTTGTCAGGCTAGTATTGAATTCCTAACCTCCAGTGATCCTCCTGCCTTGGACTCCCAAAGTGCTGGAATTAACAGGTGTTAGCCACCATGCCTGGCCAAGACTCTTATCCTTTTTTTAAAGGTAATATCTAGTTGGCCCCTCAAAGCATTTATTCTCTGTGAAGTTGATGTGAATTACCAGGAATCAGACATGAGCACCTGTGCACTATACACCAGGTCTTCACCAATTTCTTGCAAAATTTAAAGTGACACAATCCCTCTATACCTATCTACTCATTTGCAAAATTATCTAGGAGACTAAAATACTTTCACCGAGACCCATAGCAGCAGAAGCTACATAAATTCTTGCAGAACGAGTCACTGTGTGCTTCCTATAAGTCTTGCTTTCTGGATTTTTGACTGTTCTTTAGTCAAAAATGTATAAAGATTAAACGTTGTCAAATTGATTAAAGTCTATTCAAACACTGTATTATGATTTCCTTACTAAAGAGAATTTCTTAACATTTACATTGAGCTTAAATACATAGTGGTGATCTCTGATCTATCAGATAATGATTAGAATAATTATGAAGTTTCTGCAAATGGAGTTACCAAGTTTCTCTTCACTCTCCACTTGGTAGCTATATAATGAGGCTGGTGATATAATCTAAAAGTAATATTTTAATTACACCTAAGAATTGGAGGCTACAGATGTAGATACTTCTGTAGAAACTCTATT